AAACACTATAATAACTGTGCACAATAAGGTGCAAATCCCACATGGGTTGAGATGGTTTCTCTGAGAATAACCATCTGTCCCCAGGAAGGAGAAAAGTAGATGCTGCTTCCAAAAGTTATTGGCTGGAACATTCAGAAACATTCAAAATTCACAAATTCCAGGAGCTTCTGAGACACAACATGGAGGACCTAACCTGGCCCTTCTGTGCGCCTCAGCTGCCCCACTCAGATAAAAATGGGATAGTGTTTTGGGGTGGGAGCATGGTCCAAATCACCCAGAAAGTCTCCTAAGCCTTACTGCTGGCCCCCACCCTGAGGTCAGGCAGCCTGGGACTGGGCCTGGGAAGCTACAGTCCAGGGATCTCCCCTTGAGAACCTGCAGTGAGAAAATCAGCTGCCCTCACTACACCACCTCTGCCTTCTGGCAGCCACTTAACACAACTTTAAGCACAGATCATGTAAAAGAAGGAGCCTATGCAGCCTGCATGGAAGCATGGAGAACACATTCAACCTACCTGTGCCTGGAATCTCAATTTCACTTAAAGATTTCTGGAGGGTAAAACTTACATTGCTTTCACTGACAATTTTAGCATATTGTGATCTTATTAAAATATAAAAACCTACTTTTAAATCTAATATGTAATTCAGTGGAAATTTCTGAGACAAAATAAATAATTCAGAGAGCTTTCTTTTCCAGTGACACCTTTTACACTTTCTTCCCTAGAAATGTGCAACGCTACTGCTGGTCCTGAGCTCTGAACTGTGCTTCCAGGAGTGTGACACAGCCTTGTGCTTCCACGTGTACCGTGTGCTATTTGCAGGCCGGTATAGTTTGTTCTCTCCTCCACCTAAACTTCAGTGCATGGACAGAAAGAGCCCTTGGGAAGCTCTTTTAAGTAGTATTGATTATGAACACCTAAGGTGAATTAATTAAACATGTCCCATGAGACCAGCTGTGAGCTGAAGGACGGAGGAAGTGGGGGAAGCTGGGGGAAGCTGGGGAAGGTGCACTGGGAGGAAGGAGCGCTACACAGCTTGTTATCTCTTGGGAAGATGCTGTCGGAGAAGGGAGGCGGGATGGCAGGAACACATGGGACTGAGCCTGGACCTGCAAATGCACTGTTGCCTTCCAACAGTCTTCACCGTTACTGCTCTTGCATCTAGATCACTGAGTGGTTCCCAGACTACCACGGGGCTGTTCCACATGTAGTCCATGAATACGAAAGGACATACACTGCTTCCCAGATGACAAACAGCACAGAAGCCTCTTCTCCCACTTTCTCATCTAATACCATCATAATCAAACTTCTTCTCTCTCCCTGGGGCTTCACTGCAGGGGACAGTGGCTCCCAATCCCTCCATGCCAAGTTACGGACCTTGGGAGCCATAGTCCACTCAGGTTCAGGCCTGGGCCCCTAGAGCTCACACATGAGAGGCAGGCCAACCTTCGTTGTGCCAGTTTATTCTCTGCTATAGCTGAGCTGTTTGTAGAAATTCGCGACCATGAGCCGTGTGTGTTTTCATCTGCGGGCACACTGTGCAGATGAGCAGAGCAGCGTGGACAGCATCTCACGCTGCCGACCCCCAGCCCAGGCCCCCGGGTGCTACCTGTCTGACGAACTCTGGGAAGTTGAGGATAGGCCCGTTGTGGAAGACAGGATAATAGAAGACATAGGCCAGCATCCAGGGAAAGGAGTGAGGTGCACACATGGTGGGCAGCTGCCGCCAGCAGAACTCCAGGCTGAAGCTGGTGTAGTACAGGCAGCGGACAGTCAGCGTGAACTGAAGCAGGTAGTACTCACTGTCTGTCCTGTACCATCTCCTCTGTAAAGCCAAAAAGACAGCACAATCAGTGAGTGGCCAGAAGGGCAATGTCTCATCCCAGTGCAGCCAGCATGGTTTCTTCTGAGAAGCCAAGAGGAACACGCTTCCTGGGCATCACAGCTGCACTAGCAAGGGAGTAATGAGTCCCAGGAAATCCCACTGGTAAGCAAAGCAAGCAGCAAGGGCTGGGGCATAGCTCAGCAGTGCAGCCTGTGCTCAGCGCATCTAACACATTACTGAGCAGTGGCCAGGAGACCATAAGTAACATTAGCCATCAGCTTGCCCCATAATAAAGGCTTTCCTGGGGTTGCATCTTTGGGGAGCATCCTGGACAGCATGGAGGTCGGCCACATCCAATGGCAACGCCATTGGCTTCTTCAACAATCCTGGTGGCCAGGAGGGGCCTGTGACTGTCACATTCTGCCTTCAAGGTATTTTTTTTTATGTTCTTCTGTCATTAATGTGTTCAATCAAACAGCTGAGTCTAAGAGGGCTCTGAAATGAAAGGTTTATGGAGTTGTTACAGATGTTAGCCAAAAATAAAAAGACCTCTCCTCGCTGGCTGTGGTGGTACATCCCATAATTCCAGCAGTCTGGGAGACTGAAGAGGAGGATTCCAAGTTTCAGCCAGCCTGGGAAATTTGGTGACTTAGCAGGATCTTGTCTCAAAAAATAAATTAAAATAACTGCCTCAGCCACCAACAGCATAGCCAAAAGCAGTCATGAAAACATTATTAAAAAAATTTTTTTTAAACTAGGGCATTTCAGAGCAAAAGTCTTGGAAAAGAAAACATAAACCATCTACACTGAACCTACATTGGGAAGACACAAAGCAGGTAAGTCCTGGAAGAGCAGGATCCACACAGAGAAGCGCTGGCTACCTCTGGACTGGGCAGTCCTACAAGCACAGCATGACATCACTTCGATAGCTAGTCTTTAACATACAAGAAATGAATGTCAAGCAGTTCTTTTTTTTTCTTTGTAGATTTAGATGAAAGCTATCAGTTAAAATAAAATTTTTGGTGTCTTTCCTCCTTTTCCCTGTCCTGTAACTTAAGACACCTGAAAATTCTGCTCTTACCATTACCAAAGTACCTTCAAATACTCAGAAGAAATACTGTAATTCCTGCCCTTTATGTATATCAAAGAGATAGTTGTGTTAAAAATGCAACTCCACAGAGCAAGACAAAAGGAAAATGTGTGTGCAAAAATATTCATGGGACCAAAGGCAAGAAGACAGCGTGATAAATGTCAACACTGGAAGGAGTGGAAACCTGGACTAGCTCACAGTCTTCATATGGCCCTACATTTTCCATAATATGTATATATTGTTTCTTGGTGAGAAAACACACTGTGGTCATCTATATGCAAGTAAGAGAACTCGGTCAAAGGAAGGAAGGAGTGATCTGAGGGTCCTGTAAGGCTCTAGACAGAAAAACTAACCCTGGGGCCGGGAAGATGGCTCAGTAGAATAATCGCTTCCCTGGCAAGCACAAAGGCCTGAGTTCAATCCCTGGTTCTGCAAAAAAAAAGAAAAGAAAAGAAAAGAAAAAAAAGAAAGAAGAAAGAAAAGAAAAAAGAAAAACTAACCCTGAACAGTATCTACTTTACATCCAAGACCAGCCTCCAAGGGGAAGGAGCCTACTCAGATAAAGAGAATGACACAAGAACAAGTCCGAAGGCATAACTTGTCGCTGGTCATCTGCTGTCTCTGCCACAATGTTTATCTGCCACCTTTTATTCAACTCATAATGGATGCTGTCTCCCAAGACATGATAAATAGAACCAGATTCCGGTTTTTGACCTTGCCAGGTCCCAAAAGTTAGGTGTTGATTTATCTTTATTTTCTTGCAAATTCACTTGTAGGCACGTTCATCTAAATGCCTGCCCCATCAGTTTGGAAAGTTAAGCCTCTTAGGTTAGGACAGAACTGCTTCCTATTTGTGCCCATGGGCTCATATTCTGATGTACATGTTTAACATACTAGCTCCACTACATTGGTAAGGATGCAGAAAAGGACGGCCAAGCAACAGCAAAAAAGTATCTGAACTCTCAAAATGCTACATCTGTCATGTCACTTAACAGAGATTTCACCCTGGGGACAATCTACAATGAAGGTAAAAGAACTGTCACTTCTGTTTTCCAAAGGATAAGACTGAGGCTGGAGTTAAAGGGCAGACTCCAGTTTCCAGAGTAAGATGAGACAGGGAGCAAAAGAGCTCAGAAATCAGGTGGCCAGACTCACCACTCCCGCTGAGCTCATTCTCACAGTGGGCAGATTCAGGTCCCACAAATTCCAAGCACATTGCCTGGATCCATGGGTGGGCAAGCAAGGGAATAGTGAATAAAATAAGGACATTATCAGAGTCCAGCCCCACAGTGACTAACGACAGAGTATCAAGACTTCTTGAGAGTTTCTGTGCAAGGGGTACTTGTGATGAAAGAAAAAATCAAAGACCACAGGGCAACACATCAGTGACCATCAGACAGCACAAGGAGAGCTGCAGCCCTTAAGAGATTACAGGGTCACATGGCACTCTGGGAGCCACTGCACACACCCATTAGAGGGGAAATCCTTAGACCAATTCAATGTAGTAGAGTTTAGTCAAGCAAAGAATAAAGCAACACAGGATTCACACATTGGACAGCTCCCAGAACCAGGGCAGGTTCTGAGAACTCCAGCCAGATGGAAAACAACTTAACTGACTATTCAATCAACCAATTAATTGGTTACAGCTTAAGTACTTAACTGTTCACAGCTCAATTAGATAATTGGCTACAGGGCCTTCGGCAAGCAACCAACATTAAATCCCTGTGATTACACTCTACATTTGTTTGGTATTCCTGGACCAGGATAGGTACCTGGTCCAAATCCATGGCCTCTCACAAATTTTAATGAACATCCTGTTCCTTCCTCCACCTTGTCACATTTCCACAGCCACACTCACTCTAGCCAAGCATCTGCAGAGGGCTGACCTAGCTCGAGTCCTGTGCCCAGGTGCCTACTGGGACTGCCCTCACTATAAACTCTCTCAAAGAGTTTGTATGCCGGTCTGTAAGGCCGGACACACAAACCACCTCACCCTGCCCAGATACCTGTGGTGATCTATGTCACAGCACATGAACACATAAAGCCCACAGCCCAGAGCTCAGCAGTACAGAAGCTCTCCACAACTGCTCTTTGAAACCTGAGGAGTGAAAGAAAGACCACCAGGCAAGACAGGGAGCAGGCTTTGACAGAGAGACAGGAACAGGTTTAGAGACTTTTCTCTAAAGGCAAAAGGGAAGATTTAGCAGATTCCAGCCTCAGAAAAGGAGAGGGAGAACAAGGTGGCTCTGGCCTGAACCACCAGCCCCTAATGTTTTCAGAGCTTGAGTTCTCTCAACCTGGTAGATGTCAAAACTAGCTGACTATGAGGCTGACAGGCTCTAATGCCCAGAGTCCCAAGCCACACGCTGGAGCTGGCACATGGACTGGCTCCTCCAAACATGCATTTCTCCCCAAGGAGAGCTCTAGATAGACTAATACTCCCCTGCCCTGCAACACAGATCTGATGGCTTCCCTGGCTACAGTCTTGGATGACAAGACTGATTTTCAAACTTGAAAAGCATATGGTCAACAGATGGGTGACACAAGGAAGCTATGCAGACAGCTCGAAAGGTCCCAGCCAGGCCCCAGCTTGCACAAGCACAGCTATGTCATTCAGTTCCTCCTGAGAGAACAGACAGCTGCCTGGACAATGACTGGAACCAGAAACACAGTGCAGGAAGAGCTGGCTGAGGGGTGCCATCATGTGGCAGCACTCCAGACTCCCACAGCTGGGGTGCCACCTCTCTGCTGGCCAACACCCTCTGGGCCAAGGCCGGTGTCCACTCTCAGAATACAAATGCACTGTTATCATGACTAGAGAAGACAAACAGCTAAGAAGTTGAAGATCCTGTTGAAGAAAAACTTACAGAATACAAACAGAAGCCACTGAAGTGGGAGAAATGGGGTTTGAGCCCAACATCACCCTCCATTAGCACAAACAGTGGTGTGTGTGCAGATACCACAGTGCTCACAACAATCAACACTTGTTTCACTTTCTAAATAAAAGGGCTTCCATTATTACCTACATGAGTCAATAAAAACTAAATCTGCTTCATAAGCTAAGAAGAAAACCACTTGTCTTATCTGTCTCAGAGTCCTTTGGGGCTGAAAATAAGATTCTAAAACATGGAAGCAAAAATGTCCCTAAAACTAGTAAGGCATTAGTTCAAATGTCTACAGGACTTTTCTACTTTTTGTTTCTGACCCTCCGGTCCTGTAATACATGGCACACTCTGCTCTAATTCAAGCAGAAAAGAAGGTGCAGGGTTAGCCCTGGGCAACCTTCCAGCACTGGGACAAAAGTTAGGACTGCACAACAGAGAAGCAGGGCACCACACATAACCTGGTACTGCCACTAGGGGCAGCCATCAAGGGCTCCCTTGCCTGAAAACAAAGGCATCCACTGGATGTGAGAAAAGCAGGGTGTGCCCATTTCTGAGGGTGACATAACAAAAGAACAAGACACTTACCTTTATGTCCTCCACACTCTGCAGCCTCAATGTGGAGAGCAGGAGGAGAGAACAGAGCCAGGACAGGAGCAGGGAGCGGAACTGCGCCACGCTGAAGGCGATGATGGCATGGAGGAGAACCATGACCACACCAGGAGCACCCAGCACGCTCCAGCAGGCCCACATCCCATAGGCTGTGAGGATCCAGGGCCTGTGCTGTAGACAGAGAGTGGCCGTGGGGCAGGGGAGAGAGATAGGAAAGAGCGAGAGGTGAGTGGCGGACACTGTATTAAAGCATCTGTGTGCACAGGATAACCTTCAGGAAGCCACTAGCCATACTCTTGTTCTCACAGCCCTGTGCATTCAGACAGATTTTCTAAGTCAATCCCAGAACTCCATGAGCTCCATCAGGAAGCAAGTAACCATTTCCCACCCTCAGCCAAAGCTAGCGAAACCACTAGATCCCACAACTCATCTGCAGCCTATTCAGCAAACACTAGGGAAGCTGGAGCCATGAGGAGAAACTAAACCTGGAAGACCAGCCCTTGAAAACACATCCTCTGGATGGCACAGTGGACAGATCCCAGAACACTTCAGGCAAGTTCCGTGGTGGAGACCAGGCCTTCTACACTACCAAGGCCCTTCCGAAGCCTAGGACAAAACCTTACATTTTTCAGTATGTTCTTATAGTCAAATTGATATCATAGAAAATTGTATCTCTCCAGCTTTCTGTGATGGTGAAGCCCGTGTATACTCAATCTGATTGATCCATTTATTCCTATTTTTAAAAGAATCAGGATTTTGTCTATTTGTCAAGTACTTTCTATTTATCACATTGAATATCTAAATTTAAATAGATGAATTAATATGTCTTTGCTCTCACGACATACTCTAACCATACCTGTCTGTTAAAGCCTTGTTTAACCATGATAATGTTTTAATACAAGCTTCAAAGTCCAACTGCCTCAATTCAAATACCAATGATCCTACTAACTAGCTGTGTGATTTAGGTGAGTTAGTCTCTCCGTACCTCCATTTCTTCATCTATACAACCTAGCTTATTGGTTGTTATAAGGATTAAGTAAATTATGTGTGTGAAACACTTAGAATATCAGCGTACAGAGTAAGCACTGCTTGAGGAGTCCCAAGGAAATTTTCAAGGAAGTAAGATGCCTCCTGAGTGTGTATTGTGAAATGTGGTTTCCAGGGACACACGCACAGTGGAAACACGGGGACTGACTGAATTCAGGTCTTCTCACAAGAAAGGGAAGGACAGGGGTGGGGTGCACACTGGAAAGCCCATGCTTCCACGTGAACTCTCCTCAAATATCACCAAGTATTATTCTTTCCCAAACCTACACTCCAGCCCAAGAAAACATTATAAAAATGAGACTAGGTCACTCACTTCTAAGTTCCAAGAAAACCAGAGAAATCTAAAGTCATTTTTACTATTTTTCCACCCTTCTATCCACAGAAAACAGCCACATAAATTTGCTTTAGACTTTCCCCCATTCACTCACCTCTGGGCAAAGTCCAATTTTAAAAACCAAGGCTGCCAGAGACTATTTTAAGACTTAGTTTCAACAAACGAGATAAAGAATTCCTTTCAATCTGACTTGCAGTATTCTATGCTGGAATTCTCCACGCACACGTAGCCATGTCCATACATATATATATACAGTTACACTTTTATTAAGTGCTATTTGATCCGTCTGGAAAAAGCCTGCTTTCTGGGATTCATTTGGAACTCACCACAGACCAAAGCTGCTTCAACTTGGAAAAACCTGACAGACCTTCAGGATACGGTTACTAGTGCTATGCAAACCCCATCTTCTTGGGAGACTCCATGAATCGGTCTCAAAAGCCACGTTAGGGGCACACAAGTATGTCCCATATTCTCGCCCTCAGTGTCTTCCTTGCCAAACAGCAAGGCAGAGAACACTGACCACTGCTCCAAGACATCTCAGAACTACTCCCACATTAACTTCATGTTCTCTGCTGACTGAAGAGTAACCCATGTTTTCCTCCCCTCAGTACAACCAGGCATGAATACCCCGTGCATCTTCATGTTAGATAGGAAATGAAAAGACTGAAATAATACAAAATGAATCACCTACTAACAACACTGTTGTATAAATTAGAATCCTACTAAAATACTGATTTTAATAACTTACCTATAAAAGTGCTTTTCGAATCCCATCCCCAACACACCATTAAAATTCTGATAAGCCATGCCTTGTTCTCCAGCTGGCTCCTGGCAGGGTGGCACCCACTGTGGATCCATCCGCAGAGCACATCTGCCCAGCCACCATCCCTGCACCTGGGCCTAAGGCTGGAAGCGACTACACAGTGAGGGACTAGCTAGCTGCCCACGGCCAGCCAGCAGACCGCCTGGGCAGCCAGCCTCCCTTTGCAGCAGGAAGAGCTCCCCAAGTATTTCAGCGACCAATCTCAGATGCAAGGTCCTAAGGGCAGCCCTGTCTCACCCACCTCTACACAAGTGTATCTGCCTCTTATGTGAAACTGCTTAAATAACAGCATTAAGCCAATGATGTAAAATAGACTGAAAACTTACCTTTCAAAAATAAAATGTGTGATGTTTCAATCTCAAATAATACTTCTAGGCATTTAAGGATTTTTTCCCCAGATTTTTAGGGCGATCTGAGCAGATACATAGGATTGTGGTCACACATATCCTATGTCAAGCCCAAGTTTTTAAAAATCATTTAGAAATCAAAATAGCTCACTTCATTTAAGAAGCTCAAGTGACAATTATGATGGATAACGTCTGATCACTAGAAAACAAGGCACAAAGAATCACATTGCTCAAGTAAAGTATGCAAAAAGTGGCCTTAATGTTTGGTTACGATGGTTCCTACTTAGAAATTTAAATGTTAATTAGGTACAACTTTTGTACAATGCTTTTCTCAAGTTTATGCTTCTGAGATATTTATAGATCCACACAGCTGTAAGAAATAACACAGAGCAAGCCCTTGATATGTAACACAGGTTCCTCCAATGGTAGCTAGATTGGTTTGGATCCAAATATTCCCTAAAGGCCAACAGATGGGCTTTTAGGGAATAGTACGAATTATGAGGACTCTAATCTCACCAGGGGATGTTCTATCAATTGATTTTTAGTTTGATGGCATTACTAGGAGATGAGTAAGACATGAGGTGGGGCCCATTGGCGGAGTAGATGGTGAGGAATGTCACCTGGGAACTGTACCTGTCCCTAGCCCCTTCTTCTCTGGCTCTTTCTTTTTCTCTGTGTCCTGGCTATGATAAGGTAAGACACCCCCTTCCACTAATCCCTCCACCATGACGTTCTCCGCCAACTTCACACCCACACAGATGGAGCCATTGACATGGACTGAAACCTGTGAAACGTGAGCCAGAATACATCTAAGTTGCTTTCCTCAGGTATTTTGTCACAGTGAGAGAGAGCTCGTACAGGGACGTTGCAAGACCTTCCTATAACATCACTGGGATATTACACTGTTGCTATTCATGGAACGTGCTCAGATTGCCCCAGCTTTACTTGTACTTGCATGTGTTTAGTTCTATATCATTTCATCACATGTTTAAGCTTGGTACCCACCACCACAAGACTCAGCACAGTCTGCCGTCCCAAGAATCCCTAGCGTTGCCCTTTTATACCACATTTACCTCCTTCTCGTTCCCCCCGACCTCTGACAACCACAAATCCCTGCTCCATTTCTAAGCTTCTGGCATCTCAAAACTCTTACCGCATGCAACTTTTAGAATTTGCTTTATTTCACTCGGCACAACTGAGCCCTGGGGTTTCTTTCCAGGTTTCCATGGATAGGCACGCTTTTTCTCTTTCACTGCTGCATCTTTCGCAGTGTGGCAGGTCCATGGTTTACTTAGCCACTTCCCAGGAGAAGGGGGCTGAGGCTGTTTCCAGTTTGGCACCATCACACATGAAGCTGCCACCAACACATCCAGACAGGTTTTGCGTAAAAGTGAGCTTCAGGATTTCTGGGACGACTGCCCCAGAGCACCCGCGGGGTGGCATAACAGTCCACAGCAGACTGCCAAAAACGCGCCCAGTGCGGCTCTGCCACTGAGTCGCCCGCAGCAGCCTCCGATTGACCCCGCTCATCTGCACCCAACCTGCACTTGGTGGGAAGACTGTCCAGCCCGAGCCACTGTGGCAAGTGTACAGCAGTTTTAGTTTGCCCTGTTGTCATGGATATCGAAGACTGAACAACAACCTGGAGCTGAGGTTAAGATGGCTTGCGAGAACTCTGCTGAGCTCGAGGTGACCCCCACATCTCTCTCTCTCTCTCTCTCTCTCTCTCTCTCTCTCTCTCTCTCTCTCTGTTCCGGGCTCTTTGGTTTCAAATAGAAATGGAAAGCAGCAGCAGAAAAAGGGAAACTTTCAAAGGTCTGAGATACAATAATACAGAAACTAGACTTTATTTTTGTAGCAGCAAAGCCAAACCCAAAGTATTTTCCCTGGCTCTTCTGATGGGACACAGAACCCATGACCCAGATGGAAGCAAGAAGACATCTTCCGCTCTGCCCCGTCCAGGTGCTGGCACTGAGCCACTTCTTAAAATGGGCCACAACTGACGCTACTCAGCAGGCTAAAGTCCTCTCTTGTTCATGTTACCATAACGCGAGCACAGAATCTAACGTGCCACCTAACACACAGCAGGTATTTCATAAGGCATAAATGGGAGAAAGAAAGGAAGGAAGGCTCGATGGCATGTGGGCGGGTGAATGGCTGGAGATGGGTCACTGGATGAGCAGGCAGACTGATAAACTTCCATGAGTCTTGGATTTAACAAGGTAGTTAGAAATAAGAAGAAATTAGCACTAGAGTTTGGGCTTTGTATCCCACTAATGTGAAAACATACCCTCTTCCAAGTCTCTAATTTTTCCACTTCAACCCTTATGAACAAAAGCTGCTCTGAGAAGGACTCCACCACTGCTTAGCGCCCACTTTTCACACACAGGGTCTCTCTCAACTATGCCTATGCCCTTAACATTGGGCAGGGCACAGGCACCAACCTACAGAAGCAGACATCTGTAAAAGAACCCCCGTCCCTCACCCCAGAAGGGTCCCCTGAAACAGCACGCAGTTGAGCTGGACCACACCGAAGGCCAGAATGGTGCCCTAAGAAGAGCCAAAAGCTTGTCCTTCCTCCTTCGGAAAACACTTTTTTCTCCACAACTTCCTCGCATGG